AAAACGCTCTATGTGTACAACCTCCTGTAAGCTTAAGAAATATGATTAAATTGCACATACGTGTCACACAGCTTGGCAATATAAAGTTTCCAGAACCAAAATTAAACTTTATGTAATTCTGTGTTGTTATTGCTTGAAATAGCCTTTTTTTTTCCCCCTAAGATCTTGAAACAAAGTGTTTGTATTAGCCAGAAAAAAAAAAAAAATCTTAGTAATGAAAAATAAATACACGTGCCTCAGCATTAGCTATTTCAGCAAATACTGTAATAACTTTGCATAGGAAAACGTAATGATTTGGTGTTTCTTAAGTTTGAACTTGCATTCAGTGAAGTCAATTCCACAAACTATTTCTGTAGCTCTTAAGTTGTTGTCTTCATCTTGAGCCTTCTAATCACCTCATCTGAGTCGAGTCAGGTCTTACCTACTTTTAACTGTTGTTTCTTTCTTGCTGTCATTCTTTTGTTTCAGGCATCCAGTTTAATAAAGACAACTCCTAATGATAGTCTATCTAGATATCGCTTTAAAAGAGATAAAGGTGGGGGCATTGACCAAGAGGGATGATCATATGATGACATATAATAGCTTTTTCCCAAATCTGATGCTATTTGCAGTGTAAGAAAAAAATCATCTCTGTAAAAGAGCTGAGAGAAAATAAGAGAGGATTTTGATCAATGCTGATTCTGATTAAGTCTGATCACAGCACTTGACGTTTTGGGCAAGTTTGGAAGTATATTCACAGAAAACTCAGGTTTTGCTAAGAGTAACAGGACACTGCTAGCTCAGGTAGGGAATGCTTGATCTGTTTTTTCATTTGTCTCATCTAGCCATAATAATGGAATAAGGTGCACTAACTCAATTCAGTAATTAATCTCACTGCTATCTCTTTAGTGAAGCTGTTATATTGCTGACAGTTTTCAACTGTTTCTTTTCTTGATTTTTTCCTTGGCAGAAGGAATGATGGTTTTCTCAAGGTGTTTATAGAGATTAAAAAAAAAAAAAAAAAATTAAAGTTTTGAGATCATTGTTTAATTGCCTCCATCTACATAGATGGTCATCGAGTTCCATCAAAGCAACACCCAGGGAGTTTGTGCTGAGATGGGTAGTGTATAACTTCCAGAAAAAGCAGTGTTTATTTATGAATATATCAGAGAGAATAGTAAAAAGCAATTTTTTTTTTTCAAGTTTCAGGAAATGAGATTCATAAAACCATTAATTCTCTGATCACTATAGGTATAAATGAGCAGGAGTGTTAATAGTTCCTTCTCCTCTGGAGGCTCATGCTGCAGTATTAAAATGTAAATGAGACACATGTAGACACCTAATCTGGATGGGTCTGGGATGCAGATCTGTTCTTCTGTTCATTACATCTATTAATTTTTATTGCTACATGGTTTATAGAAAAAAAGCCTGGTTAATATATAAATATATATATCTTTTGGGATTTTTTTTTTTAATGAAAAAGATGCAAAGAAACTAGACTTTCTAAGATAGTCTTCCTAGTTTTAAAATGATTTTCTGAGACAGTCAGGCTCATTCTCTTCTATATCTCTAAGGATTCGTTCCTCTCCTTCTCATAAAAGACAAAAATCCTCCTGAGATACTGAATCGGGAAGACAGTATAATTCTTATACTGCATTCAGCACAGCTATGTTTGAGGACTTTCCAGGAATGTATTAAGCTCTGTGACTAACCTCTTTTTTTTTCTTTTTTTTCTCATCTTTTCCAGGGGGAGAAGTTTATTCAGTGGTTTGTTTGCAATTTACTTTACATATATAGTGCTGTACATAAGTGGATTGCGGTGTGTTTTTATTATGTAAAGTCAAAAGTCAAAAGTCAAAGAAAAGCATCTTGCACTGTAACAAAAGTGACAAATTTAGTGAGAGCCCTTTGTCCCTGTGAGAATGTATTAACAATTTTAGCTGACTTTTCTGCACAAGAGCTCTGTTGTGTTCCCCAGTAAGTTCCACTCTTCTCATTAGAAGCCTGAGTCCATTGGGGAAGAAGCACATTCCTGTTCCCCATCCCAGAGATCTCTGTAGTCACCATGGGCCCGGGCCATCAAGCACACTCAGACTAAAATCCTCCACTTTCAGATCTGAATTGTCATTTCCAGTAAAGGCAGTCTGTTGCTAATGCAATTAGGTGATTAATATTGAATGTCTACCACCAAATCAGAACTGATAAATACGTTGGTCTAAAAAAAAGAGAAAGAAAAACAAAAAACAAAAAGGAAAAGGAAAAGGAAAAGGAAAAGGAAAAGGAAAAGGAAAAGGAAAAGGAAAAGGAAAAAGGAAAAGAAGAGAGGAGAGGAGAGGAGAGGAGAGGAGAGGAGAGGAGAGGAGAGGAGAGGAGAGAAAGGAATGAAAAGAAAAGAAAAATGAATGAAAAAAAAATAGAAAGAGAAAAAAAGAAAAAACACACACATACTAAAAAATGCAATGTTCAAATTAATTCATTTTTTTTATTTGTACCAAGCAAAGGTTTGGATAGATGTGGGAGAAGGGGAGCTTTATTTTGAAACTTTGATTATCTCAAGGGAAGCAAACTTCCATTTGTATTTAGAACAGAACAATTTCTAGTTTTAAGGCAGTCTTTTAATCAGCAAGCTCATCTGATGAAATGCTGTAGGATTTACTTATATATCAAAAGAGTTCCCTAGACATTTAAGAGATGCAACTGAATACGATTAAAAGATCAGTTTTAAATAGTTTGTGGTACAGTTTGTTTGCTGTGCTTTGTGAGAGAAGTTTACTTAATAACGTGAGCTTGTAGTGTTTTAGAAGATAGTAAAGTATTGAAAGAAAAACCACCGTTTTAGTTGCCTAGCAGAGATGCAACTGTTCAGTTTTTTGGATGTGATGGTCTATAACAAGTGAACAGAGAAACTATTAAGCCAAGGATTGCACCCAAGAATAGAATCATTTATGAATAACCTTTCTGGACCTAATTCTTTGCTGGATTAAACCTCATGTAATGTCATTGTAGGCAGTGGGGCATAAATCAGTGGAGTAAATTAGCCTTGTCATGAAACCAAGAAACCAAAGGAAAGAACAGTCCAATAAAGCAGAGATGAAATGCTGATATTAGCAGAATGCCACTGTTCTTGGTACACTGCATTCTTAGTGCCCAGCAGTGAATATTTCATTCTTCCCAGGTGTAAAATCTTCCCAGCAGCACTATAAGGTAGATTTATAATAAATGACAAAATTAATGATTTAGCTCTGTTATAATGCCACTTTAGGGCTCCCAACAGGAGCCTAAGCAGTTAGTAGTCAACATCTGTACTCCTGCAATGTGGCCTCCAAATGAAGTCTCAATCTCTTCAGAAAAATCTTGGGACTGCTTTTTTTTTTTTTTCTATCTGTTTTTCTTTAGCTGTATCTCACACATACAGATACTAGAAACTAGCATTCATATGTATGGAGAGCTTTCTACAATGAAAACTGAAAGAAATACCAGGAAGATCCATGTAAGAGCTGGAGTAAATTAAGTATAGTCACAGCCTCCACCATGAAACCAGTGAAAAACAGAGTGGATTTGTTTGTAATTCATGTCTACGTAATATTAATGGCTTTAAGAACCCAAAATATTCCAGTGACTTTAGAAGTGCCTTGGATGCATTAAAAAAAATCCATTTACTCTAATCAGCATCCATAACAACACATGGTCTTCTCTCAGACTTCAGACTCTTTTGACTGTCTGACCCAGTGATTAGCTTGTCTGAAATAAAGATCATGATTTCCCTCAGCCACAGACAATGATTTTTGCACCATACACACTGAGAGCCCAGTCCTGGCTGGAGCCTTTAGGTATTATTATGATCCTCATAAAGAGCTGATTGAAAATTCTACTGTTGAGTCTGCAGCTACACAAGTGAACTATTCAGAATAACACATTTCAACAGCACAGGTCACTTCTCACTGCAAAGAGGTGAAACAACCTGAATTCTTTTGAATTCCTACCATGCAAATTTCAGTGATGAGCTGAAGGATGAAAAACAGTTTGCTGTAAATAAGTAGGGAAAACTTTCCAGACCTACATGTAAGGAAACCATGTAAAGAATGCAACATGCAGCACATATGCTGTTATGTTGCATCTGGTGTAATGTCTTGGCAATCGAACAGAACTTGCTGGAAGGACTAGGAGAGAATTCAAATCATACTTGTCCCATGGCATCTGTGATATTTGCCATTTTTTTACCTATTTTTATGTTTTTTCAGGTAATGGTTTCAGATAAGCAGTCTGCCATGGTATTCAAGCACCTCTCCAGATTTTCAATTTCTTTGAATTCTGTTATTTCTGTTTCAAATTCACCTCTGGGCATGTTCTGAGGAGAGGAATGAAGGGAACAAGATCTGAGTTTGCCAGCAGCAACATGAGATGCTTATGCAAACACATCCAGACCTACCCAAATTGGCAGATATGTCTTTAGGCTTGGAGTGATTGGAGATATGGGAACACATCCCAGAGTCAGATCCACAGCCCTAATTTCAAGTGATAAAACATCATTATAACATTGGTTTATAAGTGTACTGACTTTGTCCTAAGTTTAGGTGGCAATGTTCTGCTAAAAAAGCAGAGTTCTGCAAGAGGGTTAGTTTTTGTTGACAAATAACACTGACTTTGGTATAAATATTTACATTTGCAGCTGTTCAACTCCCATCCATCCAACCATCCACTTAGTTTTCTGGTTTTCAGTAATAAAAATAAGATATTTCTGCAATGGAAAAAAAATGATCAATTTTTGGAAGTTTTATTGAAGGATATGTTGCACTTTTTAAAATGCCAACTCATGACAATTTCCAAAAGAATCACATAAAATAAGTAAATTAACTCATTCTTAGATTTAAGTAATTGTTATAAAGAATTAACATTACCTCATGAAACATAGTCTAGTGAATTTTGTTATTTCTGTTGTTTCTGTTACTGCTTTTCTAAAACAAACTCATGTTTTTCTATGGTATTTGCTTTACATCTAACGCTATTATATTTTGTTTCAGCTGGCAGGCTTCATCTATGCCTGTTATGTTGTGAAATGTATTACTGAAGAAGAGGACAGCTGTAAGTACTAAAGCTTTATTACATACAAAATGAATTCTATTTTTTAAATCACCCCTCTGCTATGTTGGCTCTTGCTGACTTCTTCCTAATTCCCTATTATTTTGTAGCCAGAACTTGCTTTCTGTCCATCTATCTTGATCTAAATTTCCAAATGCCTGGAAGACAAAGGAGTCATGAAATGCAGCTTAAAATAATACACACTCGTTTCTTCTGAATAGATCACTGTAATTTTTTCTTTTCTCACAGCTTAAGACACACACACAAAAAGAAATCCCAGTTGACAAACACAACCTTTTTGTCCTTTTTTCTTTTTTTTTTTTTCTTTCCTTTTTTTTCTTATTCCAGGCTGTTAACTGTCTTCATAGTAATTGGCTTCCACTGAGGGTATAGCTCTTCTGTGTTGACCTCAGTGCTGCATTGTAGAAGCACTTCTGGCAAGAAATAGCTTTAGATCATTGCAGGACCTTCGTTTATGAGAGGTGAAACTGTGGAGTTTCTCTTTGTTTGTGCTACTCCCAGGGTACAATTACAAGGAGCAAAATGATTTAACGTAGATGTATGTTTGTGTTTCTTCTGTTTATTTATATCAATATAAGCCTGTTGATCAGAATTTGCTTTTAATACATGCAATGAAGCCAAGCCATTTTATTTTTTCTCTACTCTAACCTTGATTTTTTAAAAAGGGCCACTGCAGTGTTTCAGTACATCTTGGGATTCATGCTAAAGCACTTTAGAAGCAAGTATCAGAGCTGCATGTAACTTTGATAAAATATACATGAATCCTAGAGAGAGTTTTGCAACAGGAAGCTAAAGGGCTTTTATTTGACTGAGAGCACTGCTAGGGCTGGCAGGGGTTCCTTTGTGTGCTCTGCTGTGTATTGAAAGCAGCTGAAACCCTGTAATCTATTGGCAATACAGTGCCACTGTGAGCCATCAAGGGAAGATTTAGTGCTGAAACTAAACCTCATTCGGAGGTCTCTCAGATGATGCTCCTCTCAGTTGTCTGTGTATCTGTGGAGGTGAGGAAGGCATAAGAGTAAAAAGAATTTGGGACGAGCGTGGAGCAGGGGTGCACTTTGAATGTGTTTTCATTTCTTAGAGATGGACTCAAGATATGTGTGCTTTTTTTCTGCTCTCCAGCTAAGTGCTGGAGGATGGTGAATCCTTGCCCCTAGGTGAAATCCCTTTTTACTGCCATCCTGCCTTCTTTCCTGAGGACTTAAATCTTTGTCAGTCTTCTACAACGCTTTAAGAAACAATGTAAGTAAAAAGCAAGGAAGGGACTAGTGGCTTGGCTTGCTGAACAGGCACAGAAGTCGAAGCACATTTGGAAGATCTCTCCTGTGGGTTGTAAGACGTGTTCCTGGCAGCAAAGCACTGTGGCCAATATGCTATTGTTTCTTGCTCACAGCTGAGGGAGCTCCCTGTTGTTCAGAGGCCACAGATTGTCATGCTTCTTTGAACCTTTTCTTGTGGTTGTCTTGCCTGCTTTGAGGCCTTTATTACTTTGTTAGCACACCTCCACCAGGTCGCTCTTTCCTGACAGTGAGGCATCCTGACAGCCTGTCAGAGCCCACTGGCACACTGGGATAAAGCCCCACTCCGCCTGCCATGTGGCCTCATTGCTCTGGGAGCCTGGTTGGAAAAAATGGTGAAAGGAAACTTCACGGTGGCTAAGTTATCCCTATACAGTAATAATTCGCAGACCAGATTTGGCCCCTTGAGGTACCATAAATTTCTCCTTCACACTTGCCTGATCTGCATGAGACAACTCCATCTGTGAAAGTACTGAAGAAGGTATGCTTAGGTGTCTTCTTATCAAATATAAACACTAAATAGCATAGCATCCATAAGGGTTTTGTTACTTCCCAAAGGAGTGCAATAGAATGACATGTTGCCAAAGGAGAGAGAAAGCACAAGAAAACAAATCCAAATTGAGTAAAAGATTCTAAAACTAAAACTGGGCAGGGAGTGCTCCCAGTAGAAATTAAGACAGCTTTAATTTCACAATACTTCAAGGTGCCAAATCTGGCATGCTGCTAAGAAGAAAGTTCTGTAGCACAGAAGAATGTAGACAACCCTCCTGCCCACAGTGAGCTCCCTTCCACAGGCTTACTGGATATCTAGCACAGCAGGAATAATTGTGCTGCCCATAATCCCTGCTCAGCATCCATGCCTGGTAAGAGGTGAGAATGGGCTTGTGCTTGCATGCAGTTTGGCAGATGTGCACCTTTGGTGTGTTAAAGATGTGTCAGCTGTGGAGGACCAGTCGCCACAAAACAACTCCTCCATACTTCTTTCCCAGCTTCCAAAGTGGTCTAGGAAGAACAACAGATGGAAATAGACATTTTTTAACCACCTCTGTATTCATAGGCATCACAGGAGAGATCTAGATTTCTGGTTTTCAGTGCCAACCATAACTGTAGGAAAGAGGTGCCCTCCTGCCAAATACAGATGACCACAAGGACTACCATCTCAGCACACTCCGAAGGAGCCCCAAGTACCATCTGATGAGACAGAGTCGGTAGAAAAAGCCTTTTGATACTTGTGATGGATTTGGTGAATATCCATATGTTCGGTTCCATTTCTTCTTTTGCTAATGGGTCATGGGAGCCAACAGCAGCCCAGAAAGGAAGTGTAAGAGGCAAGAACACTGAGCCAGCAGGAGTAGACAGCATTGCATGAGACTACATAGTCAAGCAATCTCTAATAGCCAGCCAGAAGAGTGTTCCAAACTTAAAACAGATCAACTTATCAGCATTTCTCTGGAAAAGAGAAGGTGCCTCATCTCCTGTTGGCTAGAGTCTCAACTGTAGAAACACAATCAAGTTATGTTTCAGCTGAATTAGCTTTGCTCTCAGGGCAATTGGAAGCTGAAATAATAACTATCTCTTTGTTCCTCATGCAGATTTTTTAAAAGAACAAATGAGCAAGGGTAGAATTAAGCAAGTATTTCAATAGATTAACCTATTCTAACCTCACTGAAGGATTAAGAATGGAACAATAGAGTGATCAAATCAGGGTCATAAGTAAGGCTGAGTCAGCAAGCCTTGGGGTTTTAATAACTCACACAGCAAATAAATCCGGCAGGAAACCCTCTAAATCAAAGTACAAGTCTGAACTACTTTTCATGAGAACAACATGCTTTGGGTTAAATCTACATCAAAAATTACAGAGAAAGCTGCTTTCCTTCTCACTGTAATCTCAAGCAGTACCTTAACAGTGTGAATACCAGGGCGAAAACACAGCAGCCATCTCCAAGAATGAGACAAAGGTGGCTTTTCCCCAGTTACTTTTCTTGTCAATGCTTCACCACTCCTGGTGGTCCCTTCTGCATCTTGTTCCCTGCAGTTGTGTAGTGAGGATGACCCTTGAAGCTTGGGGCAGCTCAGGTCTCTTCTGCAAAAGACAAGGGAGGATGGGTGCCCAGCAGGACTGCTGTCAACTCAGCACTCTCCTTTTCAGTATTGCCACTGGAATGACTAAGCTATTGTCATTCTTTCTTCATTAGCGTTATTAGCTGTAGCAATTAAAAATAAAGCATGAAAATGTCAGCAACAATCATTACTTGGAGGCATTCCACAGCTGTAAACTTACCGGAGCACCTCATTTGCTTTCCAAAATCATATTAGTCCTGCATTTTTCAAAGGCTGCACATTATTTTTAATAACACTGAAATGTTCATTTAATGTGCATTTCCTCACTAGCAATTTGGCACCCTGCTATAAGATGTTACTGCCTTAGTAAAGTAAATTCAGTGTATTTCTGAAAACATTATTAAATACACAGATATTTAGTAGAAAACTCTGGATTCCAAGCAATGAAGCTTCATCTTCCTGGGGCTTTTTGTCTGCAAACAATAGAAAAAAAAAGAAACCTAGGTTACTGAAGAGGAAATTCTACACTCTCCTTGCAGATTCTGGTGAGAGAAAGTGGACTGCCTTGCTATTAGAGAGACTGCTCTGGTCAGAAATTAATCTCAGCTCAAATGACTGGAGATAATCACAAACTCAGTCTGTGTTCTAAAGTGAAATCCTAATCCAGCTCCAGTTTGGAGCTATTTTCCAAGGAAGGGGAAAAAACAGCATTTATCCACCATATTACAATTCTAAGGCAAACAGAAGAAATCTGACCTGACTATTCCCAGAGTGCAGTGAGGTACAGCCTTTGCACTATCATCTCACACTAGCAAGAACTCAACTTGCACATTCACTGTCTTCTTTTCTCTCAGCATTGTTACTAGGTAAAGAGCAAAGAAAAAGAAATTGCAACTGGGTTTAAATAGATTTTTACTCTGTATCCCATTGAGCCCAGCATTTGTGGCTGTCTGACACAGAAATAAAGCTCTAGATAACCTTTTGAAATTATTTTATTCCCCTCTGAAAAAAGCTTGAATTTAAGATTCTATTTGAATTACAGAAAACATTCAAGAATACAATACCCTGGATAGTGGATATCTCCTGGTATGCAATACAGCATAGCTGTTGTGTGCCAATAAACTCACTGCCAAACAACAACCCATTCTGGGATCCTATGTAGTACAGAGATGGTGAAAAGATTTTCTTTTAGAAGACAGTATTAAATGTATTATTTGTAAGAGATGAGAAACTTTGATAAACATATCAAAATACGGAGAAAAGACTTTTATTGTTAGCTCTGTTACAGCCTACCTTCCACCTATGGTTAGGTTGTTTAACCTCATAATACTCCTGTTTCCATTGTCTAAAATGGAAAATAATGACAGGGACAAATCTGCAAGCATGTTGTCTCATAACTTTGAACTTCTGGGATGAAAGGCACTTTTGAAATACAGAATATGCTTAGATATCACTTTATTTCTGTGCCAAATGCTTTTCACAGTCTGCTTAGTCAGACATGACAGAGAAGTAATACCCCAGCTTCCATCCCTACTTAAAAATCTCTAAAACAAAGAGAAACTAGTAGCAAATGTTCAGCATTAATTCTCCTTATTTCCTTCTTTTCTCATCTTCCAGTCAATA